CCCACAAAAAAAAAGGTTCGGGGGCGGGGCAGGGGGACCCCTCCGCTCTCGGTGTCTGAATAGGCGAGGGGTCCGGCGGGGGGGCCGGGCTCCGGAGCCCAGCTGATGGTAACGCGGAGGCATAGGCAGAATGGCGTTAAATGTTCCTCAAATTTTGAACATAGCAATAAACAAGGCGGTTTTTGGGTCAGTCATCACCCTTTCACCCCTCTTTAAAACAAGTCACAGGCTCCTATGACAATTTCGACTTTAATAAAGTGGATGTGGTTAAGGACAGAGGGGCAGTCTCATCGTGCGAGCGGGGCAGCCCGAAGATTGAGCAAGGGCTTTTAAAAGTGTTCAAATTTTTGTGCAAGATATAGGAAACAACTAAATATTTAAGACAATCGTGCCCCTTTCACCACCCTTTAAAAACATAATGAAAATAACATAATTTAAACATTTAGCAGATAGATATTCGTCTAAGCGTCTCGGCGTTAGTCAGTCCATAGCCCACATCAAGTACGCGAAGCCCTTTTAAGCCACATTGAATAATGTGGACTTGACGGATTTTTATCTCAAATTAAACTCTTTTGCCGCGCTCGACGAGACGACGCTGGGCGGGAAATTACAAATGCGCGTAGATTGCGCGCATCGCCCAGCGGGCGGGTAAAAGTGCAGAAAACTCTCGACACATTCACATTCGCATTCACACGCACTGATACTCCCGCGCAGAGAGTCACGCGGGAGAGAGGGGGGAGTTCTGTATGTTTATGAATTCCAAACAATGAGCCCACCGAGTTTATCACGATCTACGTGGGTGGGTATGAGCTCTGCGGAAGGCGTCAGAGAGTGCTACAGAGGGAGAGACGAGAAGGGGGAAGGGAGAGGGAGCAGGAAGGGGACGGGGAGGGGGGTAAGAGAAGCGGAGGGTTGGTGGGTACAGGAAAAGGGAAAGAGTACGTGAGAGGTAACGCACACATAACCGCACGACTAAAATGGCCCGCCAGACGGCAGTAGCGCAGTACCAAACAGAACCATAATCTCTCGTTATTATTTGCGAGTTGATATGATTAATAATACTAATATTTCTGCTCTCCTCTCCAGCCTCGGTTCGGATTTCATGTTTTACGCGTCCCTCTAAATCACAGTGCGGCGCGATGCTCTATGCATGCCGACTGTAATTTACAGACTCGGCGATAAAAGTCCGGCATTATGAAGTTCGGCAGTCAAACACGGCCGGCAGTGTCGGCTGGGCGGCCGATCGGGAGGCGGTGACCACGTGGAGTGCACACGTGTGATATATTATGAGAGAACGATGGGAATGATATAAAACGTGCCCTGCGGGAAGAGTTATTTATTTGGTGCAAATAAGCAGGCGGGACTGACGGAAATACGAGCGGCCCTCGGAGCCGCAGTAATTAACGACAAATAAAAAAACAACATTCGGAACGCTAAAATTTACGCGTCATCTGACGTTTGGTGGATCCCTCTCACGCAAGAATCCAAAGATGCCTGTTACGCGTTTTCCGTGTTCCCTCTTATTTCTAGGAATACTATGACAGTGTGCGAGTGCCCGTATAGGCACTCATGGGACGGACATGCGGGTACACACATAGGATGGCCGAGCGTATGGGAAAGTGTCCTCGGTAATGGAGAAAGCCTCACATCGTTAACAATTATTCAGCCAATCCGATGCAATGGTAGTACACGGGGGCTGGGAGGAGTGGAGGGGTCTTCTAGGAGGGTGGGGATAGAAAAACCATACTACTCTGTTGAATACAAATAAATGGTACCACGGCCTGCCCATATAAGTTGTAGATAACGATCCAGTGAGTAGTTGGAGCCAAGGCGCAAAGCACACCGGACACATTGCTACTGGAGTTATTCCCGTTCCTCTCGATTCAAAGCTGTGATTGAATTTTTTTTCCAGTCAAAGTTGCTGGAAAACGATCGCGAAATAGGCAGGTGAAGACAGTAGATGCCCGGCAAGGTCCAGCATAACTTTCGCTCGGACTGCACCCCGGGATGTCCCTTATTCCTCATTATTGTTCACGAGGGAAAGGGTGCGGGAGACCGCAATCCTTTTATCTTCTGCATCCCTCACCCCTACGATTTTTTTTGCGAGTCCCCGTGTGTCGCCCACACCTTTACAGCGCGCGCTTTCTACTACACCTTTACTTTTTTTTCGCAACAAGCTTTATGCTTCAGAGTGAATGTCGCCTCGTGAAAGAATTTCACCGGCCGCCGAGGTGTGCTGTGCGGCCCAAAAGGGCTGGTCGGAATGGGGACACGCAGCGGGTGGGCAGGGTGGCGGCGTTACCAGGAACCGACCGGGATCCGACCTGGAACCGCATCAAAGAGGTCGAGCTCACCTGAGCGGGACAGCGTCGAACTGGACCTCACGTGGTGCAACACTGCCTTTCGAGTGGTATTATTACGCGTAACTCAAACACATCGTAAGATGTGTGTTAGCTGCCGCATTTGAAAATTTCATACACACGATAAAATTACCAAGGCAAATTCCTTGTACGAACAAGAAATACTGTTCGCGACCAGTGCCATGGCCACGTCGAGGACGGTACGTGACGGTCATGTGACACAAGAGACGTGACGGGGCGTGGCGGGGAGTTGGCGGGTCATGCCCCGTCCGCGGGGAGGGGAGGCAGGCGGGAGGGGCACAACAGCGGGGTGCTGGCTGCTGGTTTAGACTGCGTGGGCGATGGTTGCCGGACATGCACACTCACACACACACACACACACACGCCGCAATGATTGAGGTAGACAGACTGTTCGCGGCTGAAAGATTTAAGCTTAAGTCGCAACGAAGAAAGAAGAAAGGGGGGGGGGGATAACGCGCCATTAATGACATGGCAAAGACAACAGAATATCTCCCCCCCCCCCCTTCCCCCTTTCTCTCTCATCGCAACTCGATGAAGATGACCAACATGTGGCACGGCACGCGAGCGCACCATAACCTCACTTTTATAATCACCATCACCTCCCAGCCGTGTCGTGACTCCCAACATCCTCATCGCCCATCAGGCATATCATCATTATTAAAATTAAAACGCGCCCTGGCCGCGCGCTATGTGGACTCTCGCGACCGCACTTACTTTCTTTTATACATCGTGGTCATCAAAATCATCATAATTCATTAGAGCTGCGGTGCCGCCCGTCTTGCCGCTATTTTTAGGGCGCGAGACTTGGCATGGCTCAACACAGACGAACAGCAGCCGCCCGGCCCTCGGCCCGGCCCTTGCAGCAGAGGCGGGACAGGCATGGATACAGTCATCCGCTGACACTTCGGCAGACAGATTTGTGCGCTGAGCGGTGTATATCGCTCGTCGCGGACCAGGCGGGCGTGCCCTGTGCCCCAGCCGCACACGCACACACAGCAAAATTTAGAGTGTGAATGTCGCAACCTTTTGTAAGGTGTGTGGAATTTGAATGTCACAAGTAAAGGTATCAACCGAAACGAGCATCGAACTCCAACGAGCCACTCTCTATCGCACCCAATTGCACACCCGTGCACACCCGTTTATACAAGCATGCGATTAGTAATTTTCCACTCCTAAAAGTGTTCGACATTACACATTTTTGTTGCTGTGTTCCCCCCACCCCCTTCTCTCTAACATACACACACACACGTACATAATACGTGCAGAGTGCGCCGAGGATGTTGTACCAGGTCGGGGGCTGGACAGGCAAAGAGCGCGATAAGTCAACGACACACAAAGAAAGGAGTCCTCCGCGTGCAAAAGGCCAGGCCGTACTTCGTTTCGGAATGGGCCACAAACAGCAGCGCGTCTCGATTTTTCGAATGAGGTACTTGTTGTTCATAACTGCACTACTTATCCAGTAAATGGGGCCGTCACTGAGACGTCATGAGAAAAGCAGCCTAAGATAAGATGATTGTAAGACTCTGCATAACACATCAACAATTTGAATGAAAGAAAAATACTATACGTAGATAGATATCCACCTCGATATCCACAAACTATTCTAGACCAACGACGAACACGTGGGCGTGCCCCCCCCCCCCCCCCAAACCTTGGCCAAGCCAAGGGTCCTGTTTCGTTTCTACTGTTTTACAATTTGGGCCAAATCACAAAGTACCTACTTTCGCGCTTAAAATCCAGAGTACTATTTGCTTAACAGCCAAGCAACTTTGCCTCAGTCTCAAAGAATGGAAGTTAGCCGGTGGCCTAGGAACCTCAGTTTGGCCACTACTATGCCGTCATATTTTTGCCGCAGATATAAAGTTTACAACGGGGAAGTTCACTGTCCGTAGTTTAGGCGCTCTCTGCGCACCGATAAGAAGCATGTTCGGTTTCCGGGCGAGGCGACACTAGGTGTCAAGGGCAAAACTGCCAGACAAACACATGCACTCGAGCACACACGCGCGCAGCTGTTCACCCGGACGCAAGCGCGCGCTGAAACACCACCGCCACCACCAACACCATTGGGAGAGCAGACTGCATGGCAAGAGAACAAGGCAAGTCGAAAGAAGCAGCAGGCGGCATATAGTGGAAGCAAGCCAGAGGAATGTGGAATTGTTGAACCAAGCAGAGTAAAAATGAGAGGCCATTTTGGTTTAATGGCACGTGTTATAATTTTGTAGCGCACTGCGGCCGTCAAGATGGGGAGAACTACCGCGAATAGTACGAGAAAATCGCACCGCAACGGCCGCGGGTCTCGCGGGCAAAGACATGTGCGGGAATATTTAGAGTCGCGGTAAGCGCAAAATGGCACTCATTTATACTTCGTGCTTGGCCCAAGAAAATGCAGATTGTGGGCATAACGTAGAGAGTAACACGCTCCACACACCGCCTTCAAAGAGGCACAGGACGAAAGAATTATTTCAGACATGTAATGAAACTTACTTGCCTGTGACGTATGTTTTTGCACCTGTTATTGTGGGGCGCGTGGTACTCTCGGCTTTTAACTACTACTGAACACAGATGCACGTTTTCGTTCATGATCACAAAACAAGACAGGCACACTTGAACACCACTTACCACATACAACTCGGTCGAAGGGACTCATCCAATCTGAGAACCGAAAGAAGCCTGGGGTTAATTATGCACACAGTTTTTCATCAGAACGCTAAAGACAAACTGATGAAATTTTTCAATTAAACAAAACACGGATTGACTTAGAAATAAATTAAATTAATTTCGAAATCAAAGGGCAAGCGCAGGAGATTGAGTTACATTCAGCAGAAATTAATCGTATTTAATTTGTTTTAAATGTGGTGTCTTCTGTTTCAGGCATCCTTACCGGTTATGGACATCCAGGGGTATCGAGGGATGTCAGGCAGGGGCTGGGTGGCAGCCGCCCCCGGTTGGGAGCAGCTGTTGAGCGGGTCTGCCGCTGCCGACGCCGCAGCCGCCTGGTGGTAGAACTGGGCGGCCGCGGCCATGGACGCCGAGGCGGCCGACACCGAGTTAGCCGAAACGGAGGAACCGTTCTGGTGACCTGGAGCCAACATGCGTCATTCATATAATAAAATAAAATAAAATGATATGCAAAAAAAAAATACTTAAAAGATCGTCTATAAATGATGTAATTTGTGTGTGATCTTATTGAATGAACGTAGAATATAGAGAAATCAACCATGCAGAGTAGCCTCTGCAGCTACTTTATGGCCACCTTTAAGAAGGATGAGAGGATAGTTGTTTAAACCTTTGCATCTTTACTTTTACATCACGTGATATCGGTCACGTAATTCGCCACAGAGCACGCGGTCTTTTGTTTCGGCCAACGTAAGAAAGCAAAACCGTGACGGCAAGTCTCTCAGATTCTCAGTCTCTCTCAGTCTCTCTCTCTCTCTCTCTCTCTCTCTCTCTCTCTCTCTCTATTTCTCTCTCTCTCTCACACACACACACACACACACACACTTCCCACGCCTCGGTAGATCCACAACACCGCACAGTGGGCGTTTAGCTAGATTGGTCGTTAATTTCTTACAGTTCTCACGCACCTTGCTAGTGTGAATACACGATCACACCTATCACAATATGAGGACATCCTTGACTACTATGTATTAATTGTTGTTGCGCTCAATTCAAAATTAGCATGACTATTTAATTGCCCTTATTTGTGGCAATAAATAGACGCAGCAATTAAAATTTATTACAAAACTATGGGTAGTAATTAAATGAATACTTTTACACCTCTACCTCCATGCAGGTTAAGAACCATAACAAGATACATAAAGCCTTGATTCCAAACACAATTAATTTTAAATAATGACAAATCATATGGACTACAAGCAATATCTGAATTTGACCAAAATGCGAACTAATCTAAAGACATGCAGATAGAGTTACATCAAAATAAATGTCATTCATCTAATGCTAGGCTATCCAACTACGATTACTCTAAATTTAACAGGATCATAATCCACGGTTGAAATCATGCGGCGGTGAAACGAAGGCCATTAAAGCTAAGTTTGCAGCACCGAAGTTCAAATAGCAAAAGGCATAACGGCTCATTTAATAGAGCGTCACCCCCAGCAGCATCTTTGACAATTGTCTGTCCCAGGTGCCTCATCATTACAGCCATAAAGCGGCGGCCAAGTTGTAAACCAATAGGCAATTGTCATCCTCATTACACAAAGGAGCGTCACTAAACGGTCTCCTTTCACCCGCAACCCATGCGGTATTGTCAAAAAGAGCCACACCGTGATTTTAATGGGACCGCAAACGTTTATGGACTATGAATAGGAGCGCTACAGCCTTGAGGTCAGCCAGGGGCAACAACGGCACTAATGACAAGCAGTGCAGCAAGCAGGCCGCGAGCACCACTACCGGCACGGTCCGCAGGGAGGTTATGACAGCTACAAACACACACACATCCACTCACCTAGGGCGTAGTTGACCATCGAGTCGGGGGTGGGCACGTTGCCGGTGAGCGCGGCCGTGTACCGGCACGACTTGTCTGCGGCGGCAGCGTCCACGGCGGCGGCCAGGGCGGCCGTCGACGACGAGGTGAAGCTGCCGGGGACCATGGAGGTGGCGCCGAACGCGGCGGCCGCGGCGGCCTGCTGCTGGTGGTGGTGGTGCGCGGCCGCCGCCGACACGTACGGGTACATCCTCGAGCTCACCAGGGCGGCGCTGGGCGGCGGCGAGGACGACGACGACGTGGACGAGTAGTTGACGACGGAGCCGAGGCTGGACGAGTCGGTGGACGACGAGGACGTGATGACGGGGTTCAAGAGCCCCAACTGGCTGTGGTGCTGCTGGAACTGCTGGTGGTACTTGGGGAGCATGCTATCGATGATGAACTTGGACGTCATGGTGCGCGCGGCGACGTGGCGGGGACGGCACTCACAGGACGGCCTCGGCCATCGCGACAGGCCCCCGTCGAGCCATCACTGACACACGCACACTCACGACACACTCACTGCACTTGCACTGTACCCGCACGCTCGCACCACACTGAACTGCACACGCGGCCGGGGCGGCGCCGTCTTCCAATCCTTTATGGTCGCTGTATATCCCAACTATTGCCCCGTACAACTATACTTGTTCTCTCTCACCTAAAATGTAACCCCTTAGAATAATGGCGTAAGCGCTAGGCTCCCTGGCTGGGCCGCCGATGCCATGGCCGCCCACCGCGCCCGCCCGTGCCCCTCCCGCGCCGCCGGCCCGTCGTCCGGCCAGCCAATCACGTCGCGGGCCGCGCCGGGCCAGCCAATCAGCGCGCGCGCCGGCCCCCGATGAATGAGCGCGCTGCTCGGCGCAACCGGCCTCGGCGGCTCGGCGGCGCGACTGTCCCTGTCGCTCCCGCGCGCAGCGGCTCGCCGCGTCCTCGTCGCACCGGGGGGGTGGGAGGGCACGGGAGGGGGCCGGGAGCGGGCTCGCCATCTCTCTCGCACTTGCGCCCCTTGCCCGGCAGCCGTCTCCGTCGCACGGCGGCGGCACGGGAGTCGGGAGGCGATGCGAGCGCCATCCTGCGGTCAGATTCGCCAACTACATCCAGAGCAGCGCCGGCGATCTTCTCTTTCTCTTCATTCGCGCTCTTTCTCTCTCCCTCCGCGTCCCGCTCCCCATCCTCTTCCCTCTTCTGTGCCGGCGGCGGCGCGTTGAAAAGATGGTAAACATTAGGAGCCGCCACTGATTTTGAGTACGTTCATTGTCCCCGAGAATGACGTGTGAAATGCACACCCAGACGGCGGGTGGCAGCGGGTGGCAGGGCGGGGCGCGGGGGGCGTGCTGGCCCGGCCGCACATAAAAACGCACTAAAGGTCGTTTACCTACTAACATGAAAACAAACACTCACCGCGTCACATGGTCCGCTCCTAGCGGCGGACTTTTACTTCCTGCCGGCGAGACGTCCTTTACTTTCTTCCTGTCATTTTGCATATTTCACTGCCATGCTTGAGTTTGACCGCAGAATAGATTTAGAACAGGTCTTCACTCATTTGATAAATTAAAGGGTTTTCTTATATTGTAGCGATAAATCATAAGAAGGCGATGTTACGTGTTATGTAGTGCTATCTAATATTTTTAAAATGTTTTAAAAAATATGAAAAAATAATTCAAATAAGGCTTTTTATTATAGAGATATTTGTTTTCCTAGAGTACCTTACTGAGATATCGCTGAATTGTGTTCACAATGCAAATACTGTTCAATGCAGAATGCATGACACTTATAATAAATCATGAAACGTATAATTAAGTAATAAGGACAAAAACGTATTGCGTCTCGAACTACGGTACATTGGCTTATCGAGGGGGAATCACTCAAGATAAAAATTTCGACTTAGTTCCTTAGTACAATCTATTAGTAAAAAATATTTTTAGCGTCAGTTTTTATCGTTGGTGCAAAATTATGCATAGTTAGCACGCACGTGATACCTCCGCTCGCTTCTTATCGCGTATAAAGAACTTAACTCACCATATCAGCCGGTGAATATCGACATCTGCAACAAAGAAAGCGAAACAAAATTAAGTATCAGACAATGCGAGACACATTTTTTCAGGACCAAACAGAACCAAAGCATTATCAGCCGCTGAAAAGAATTACGTTCGGCTCGTCAATCATCGCGGCTGCACTGGCTCTAATTGGCGCCTGCTCCAGCTGCCCCCGACCAATGAATATAGCCGGGCGCGTCCGAATCGCCCTCGCGACTGCAGTATGCTCAACGCGCGCCGCGCAGCACGATCCGGAGGCGTCCCGAGCCTGGCGCAGCAATTATCCAAACGCCCCGTTCTGATTGGTCTGTAGTCGTACCGGCGACCCATTTGCTGTGTGAGGGAGAGAGAGA